CCATTCTTCCTCTAGAATAATAATCACAGTCACGTGGGCAGCAACCTGGGTGACCCTCCGGCAACTTGTGCCCAGTGAGTGAGAAAAAATAGTCAGTGTCAGATGGTTGCCTACTTTCTGAATGACTCTGTTTGTATAACGCTCTTAAAATGACAAAATTACAGAAAGGAAAGATAGATGAGTGGCTGCCAGGGGTTAAGAGCAAGGGAGTGTGCCCACGGAAGGGCGCCCTGAGGGAGGTTGTAGTCATGGCAATGTTTTGTGTCTTCCTCGTATCAGTGCCAGTAAGCTGGTTGGGCCATTGTCCTGTCGTTTTGAAAAATGTTCCCTTTCGGAGGACTCTGTAAAGGATCCATGAGATCTCTCTGTATTGCTTTTGACAATGGCCTGTGAATCCGTAACTATTTTGAAATTAAACGTTTCATTAAAAAATGCTTAGCTATGGCCCTGGCCAGTTTGGCTCACTGGATAGAGCGTCGGCCTGGGACTGAAGGGTCCCAGGTTCGATTCCTGTCAAGGGCATGTACCTTGCTGTGGGCACATCCCCAGTGGGGGGGTGTGCAGGAGGCAGCTGATCGATGCTTCTCTCTCATCGATGTTTCTAACTATCCTTCTCCCTTCCTCTCTGTGGGAAATCAATAAAATATATTTTAAAAAATACTTAGCTATGGATCTAAAAAACATACATAGAAGAGCTTTATCTGAGGAGAACACCAAAACCCTGATGGAAGACATCATCAAAGAGCTAAGTAAGTGGAGAGATAGTTCATGTTCATGGGGAGGAAGATATTGTCTAGATGTTGGTTCTTCAGCTTCATGGAATCCCAGTGAAAATTGAAGCAAGTCATTTCATGGATGTGGATTCTAGAATTCACACGGAGAAAGCAGAAGACCCACAATAGCCAACACGATTGAAGGAGAGCAACGTTGGAGTACTAACAGCTACCTGACTTCAGGACTTCCTATAAAACAGTAACCAAGGCAGGGGAGTGTTGGTAAAAGAATAGACACATGGGTCAATGGAACACAGCAGACCCACGTAAATATAGTCAATGATCTTTGACAAAGGAGTCAAGGCCATCGATACAACGGAGGAAAGATAGTCCCGTCAACAAAAGTTGCTGAAACAACTGGACATGCACAAAAAGGAATCTAGACACAGACCTCACACCCCTCCTCAAAATTACTCAACATGGATTGCAGCCCTAAATGTAAAATGCAAATCTCCTAGAAGACAACAGAGGAGGAAACCCAGATGGCCAATGGGATGGCAACGACTTTTCAGATACGACACCAAAGCCACCATCCATGAAAGAAATCATTGATGAGCTGGACATCATTAAAATGAAAGCTTTCTGCCCTGGCTGGTTTGGCTCAGTGGATAGAGCGACGGCCTGCAGACGGAAGGGTCCCAGGTTCAATACCAGTCAAGGGCACAGGCCCAGGTTGCAGGCTCGATCCCTAGTAGGGGGTGTGCAGGAGGCAGCCGATCGATGATTCTCTCTCGTCATTGATGTTTCTATCTCTCTCCCCTCTCTCTTTCTCTCTGAAATCAATAAAAAAATGTAAAAGAAGTATATTTAAAAAAAAAAAGATTAAAACTTCCTGTGCTATGAAAGGCGATGTCAAGAGAACGAGAAGATACGCCACAGACGGGGAGAAACCATTTGCAAAAGACACGTCTGATTAAGGACTGTTGTCCAAAATAAACAAAGAATTCTTAAAGCTCAACAAGAAGAAAACAAACAACCTGATGAAAAATGAGCCCAGGACCTGATCACACACAGCGCCGAGGGAGATGTACAGAAGCCAAGGGAGCCTACGAAAAGCTGCTCCACATCCCAAGGCACCGGAGAAATGCTAATTAAAACAACCAGGTACCACCGCGCACCTGGCAGCGTGGCCCACATCCAGGCACTGCCAACACCAAACGCCAGTGAGGCTGTGATGCCGGCAGGGATGCCAAACTGGTCCAGCCGCGTTGGGGAACTGTTTGGTGGCTTTTTACAACAGGAAACTGGCCCTGTCACCAAATCGTTCTGCTCCGGGGCATTTGCCCAGAGGAGTTAAAAGCCGTCTGCACGAGAACCCACTACTGAGTGTTGAGCGCAGCTTGGTTCGGAATTGCCAAACTGGGAAGCCACTGCGGTGTCCTTCAGCTTCGTCAGCCTGGGCTGAGGTACCATGAACCAGGGGGTTTAGAAACAACTAGAATGTACTTGTCACAGTTCTGGAGGTTGGGAGTCTGGAATCCAGGTGCCCCTTGGGTGCTGGTAGGGACCCCCCTTTCAGGCTGCTGACTTCTTGTTGGACCCTCACGGACTAAGAGGCCTAGGGACTTCTCTGACCTCTTCTTATATTTCCTTTTCTCCCTTAACTTTATTTATATAGATAGATTTATTTAGATATAAGATATATATGTATATAAATATATAGATATATATAGGTATAGATATGTATCTACAGATAGATAGATGGATAGATATATAGATGTTGATATTAGAGAGGAAGGGAGAGGGAGAAAGATAGAAGCATCAATGATGAGAATCATTGATTGGCTGCCTCCTGCACGCCCCGCACTGGGGGTCAAGCCTGCAACCCAGGCATGTGCCCTGACCGGGAATTGAACCCTGACCTCCTGGTTCATAGTTCAACGCTCTACCACTGAGCCACACCAGCCGAGCTTTCCCCTTAACTTTTATGGAGTTCTGGCTCTGACCAGGACATGAATACCTAAAACTAGGCTAGGAAGGAAAGTTTCCCATTTCTTGAGTTACGTAATTTCCAATTAGCCTTCTTTGTATTTCTTTATGCTCAGCAAAAAAAAAAAAAAAAGAAGAAGAAGAAGAGAAAACTTAAAAAAAAACTTTCCCTAAAAGCATTTTTAAATCCCTTTTCACACCAGGACAAAAAAAGTAGTCCTGTTTGGAACGGTCGGCTTTCTTCAAAAGCGTGGACACCTTCCGGGGGCTGCTCACATGGGCTCCCCAAATAGATGTGCAGATGAGGACATGGCGCGGGGAGCCTGGATCGTGCATAAGGTTGGGGTGCAGAGAAGTCTACCTTCGTCAGGGTCACCTCATGCATATGTGAAAACCTAGTTCCCCTTCTCTTTCTTCAGGGGAACACCTTAGGCCAGGGGTCCTCAAACTACGGCCCGCGGCCCACATGCAAATACAAATATTGTATTTGTTCCCATCTTGTGTTTTTACTTCAAAATAAGATATGTGCAGTGTGCATAGCCCAGGCCCGGTTCGATTCCGGTCAAGGGCACATGCCCGGGTTGTGGGCTCCATCCCCAGTAGGGGGCGTGCAGGAGGCAGCCGATCAGTGATTCTCTCTCGTCATTGATGTTTCTCTCTCTCTCTCTCCCTCTCCCTTCCTCTCTGAAATCAATAAACATATATATTTTTAAAAAATATCCCACTCAGCCCTCGCCAGTTTGGCTCAGTGGATAGAGTACCGGCCTGCGGACTGAAGGGTCCTGGGTTTGATTCCGGTCAAGGGCACATGCCGGGGTTGTGGGCTTGATCCCCAGTGTGGGGCGTGCAGGAGGCGGCCGATCCATGATTCTCATCATGGATGTTTCTATCCCTCCCTTCCTCTCCCTCCCTGTCTGAAATCACTAAAAATATCAAAATGCATTTAAATCAAGGGCAGCTGTGAAAGGAACAATGGAAAAAGAAGAACTCTCAACACTCGAAGTTATTTTTAGAATGCATGCCTGTCGACTTCGATGGTGGGTATGAGTGTACTCGGAACTTTTAGGACATTATGGCCAAGTTGGATCACCCAGTTAATTTTGAAATTCGTTTTGAGCTCCTTTGCAGCTGGACTTACTCAGCCCTGGTTAATGTATGTAACTCACGTGTCAGATTTCAGGTGGGCAGGCTGCACGTCAGCCAGTGTTCGAGAGAGGCTGACATGGGATTTCAGTTCACACGAAATTTCATTCACGCAGCCCTGATGCAGCCTATCATGGATGCTCAACTATTTCCATTCATATTTTTGGCATTTTATGTGGAAATGAGAAAACCAAATTTAATAGTAATGAAAATCCCCGTTACATCACTCCTCTTACTTTAATTCCCATTTCTGCTCATGTTTTCTTTTTCTAAAAATATATTTTTATTGATTTCAGAGAGGAAGGGAGAGGGAGAGAGAGAGACAGAAACGTCAATGATGAGAGAGAATCATGGATCGGGTGCCTCCTGCACGCCCCACACTGGGGATCGAGCCCACAACCCGGGCATGTGCCCTGACCGGGAATCGAACCGTGACCTCCTGGTTCCTAGGTCGATGCTCAACCGCTGAGCCACGCCGGCCGGGCTCTGCTCATATTTTCACCATTCATTCGATTCACAATGCCACTGGCCTGGGGAACCTCGAGTCCTCATTTAGTTAATTCTCCTACTCACCAAAGGCCTGAAGCAGGTCTCCGATTTAGTGTTAATTCACTTGTACACTGAGCTGGTCCGGAGCCTTATTCTTTCCACCCTGGACTGCAGCCCATAGGAATGTTGACGCCCTGCTTTCTTTCTATCTGGTCTGAGGCTCTCCCCATGCACGGCCAGTCAAATTCCTTGAACTTGCTTTGACAAGGTCATCTTCTGCTCAGAAACAGTGTGTCTCTTTCTCTGACTGATTTATAGAAAAATAACCCAAATTCTTTAGCCTAGATTTCAAGGCCTGCTGGCTGCAGTATGGACACTTGCTGGTTCCATATTCCTGTTGTTCCCAGCGAGCAGTGTACAGAAAGTGTGCAATGGGTGGTTTTTGTGGACTGCTCTCCACGTTTGAACTCTGACACATGCCCCATCAGCAACTAAATTTCTGCCTTGTTCATAAATCAAAATTTACCTCCAACCTAACATTTTCTGCAGATTCTTCGTCATCTCTCCTGTATACTAGTATGAGTGCCAAAAGTGAAGAATTCTTGAAATTAATATATATAGACAAATGTTTACATATATTTGTGTTTTTCTTTTTTCTTTTTCCAGGGTCAGACATTGTTCAGTGGTTAATAAAGAACTTAACTATAGAAGATCCAGGTAAATAAATCATTTTCCCATTGATTGAATTATTTTTTGTGGTTTTAAGAAATATGTTTCTACTCTGACAAGCAAACAAACATGAAAAAGTTATAATTACACTTAGCTACGATGGTAGCATTTACGCAGATTTAATGGTAGTCAACATATATTCATCTAAAATGTATTTGGTCTGTGTTGACCATTTTTTACATAGTTGATATTCCATTTTATAAAACTTGATTTGGGTGGCGATTGTCAGAATGGAGGGATTGTGTGCCTGTTCATGTGCTATTGAGCATGGAATTTATAGCAAATGATCAGGAGGTAATGAGATTTCTCTTCATAAAACACCTAAAAGTAAATCTCATTAATTTATAATTTCCTTAGCTCCATTTTTGCATGAGGTCTGAGAACGTTGTTAGTTTCCATCATGTCCACGTGATTCTTTTTAATGCTCTTATTTAAATCGCGGATCCCTTCCCTGTGGTGGACAGTGTGTCTACTCTGCAGTTCTAATCTGATTTGCAGGGCACGGGAACAGCTCTGCATCGCCGGGGACAAATTCCTACGTATGTGAGGAATCCTTAATGCCTTTTAAATAGTATTTTGTAGGAGCCTGCACAGGTGGCAAAAAGCTCACATCGCTGAAATGAAAATAAGATGTATTTGTTTAAAAAAGATGCTGAGAAAACAAACACAAAACAACAAAATATTGGGATTATAGTGACTGAGATGGTTGTGGCAGAGAAAGATGGAAATACACTAACTACTCAACCCATCTTCCCCTTGATTAGAACAGAATTCTGCTTGGCTTTGCTCCTACCTCTTATTCCACCTTAGAACGCTCTGGAAATAACAGCACATGGAGATGCAGACATTTTATTTTTCTTCATTTTTGAGCTGACTTTATAAAAGCCATGTTATCATAAAGTGTAGCTCTCATTCTAAACGCCTATATGCATCCCCTGTTCCTTTGGTATATGAGCTTTGAAAATACTGTACTTAGCCTAGCAGGTTAAGTGGAATTAAAACAATTAAGTCAAGATGAAGCGGCCCTTGCCAGCATCATATTATGACTAGGTGAAAAGAGGTGATAATTATTGGGAAAGGAAGCCACAGTCGTACCAAGATTACACCGTGGCCTCCGTTTAGTAGCATGCCTGACTTTATTATAAACTGTGGCACCAGCCGTAGCCGGTTTGGCTCAGTGGGTAGAGCGTCGGCCTGTGGACTGAAGGGTCCCAGGTTTGATTCCAGCCAGGGGCACATGCCTGAGTTGTGGGCTCGATCCCCAGTAGGGGGCATGCAGAAGGCAGCCAATCAGTGATTCTCTGTCATCATTGATGTTTCTATTTCTCCTTCTCCTTTCCTCTCTGAAATTAATAAAAATATATTTTAAAAAATAAAATATAGCACCAGATGGAGGACCCCGGCACACACACATACATACATACATACATACATACATACACACACACACACACACACACACAAAACCAAAACCAAACTAAACAGGCACAATCACTGATAACCAGGAGACTGATTTTCAAGGAATATTATTGCTCAAAGAATGAAGATGATTCAAAAGCATATTTTTTTGTAAGTTAAGATAGAAAGTGTACCTCAGTGACAGTATGAGAAGCAGGGAAAATATACAGATACAATAAGCGAGTAAGAGACAATTATTGCTTATAATTTATCCATGAGATATCATTATAGCTATAATGAGTATAAAACTGATTTTATTTGCTTGTTTGGCGGTTTAAGGATGCTTTAGAGCTCCATTTGAAGATGCATAAAAAGACAGTCAGTCATGTCTGGGGGGCATACTATCCTTTAGTCATACTTATGACAGGCTGCAAAATTAATTTTTATCTGGTTGTTTTACTTTTTA